TCCTTGAATTTGGACAAAGGTAAATCGCGTTGATTGTGGCGACATTTTCAGGGAATTGACATAGAATTCAAATCTCTTCGCTGTCGGCACGTTAATCCGATTCCTTGTCGAACCTGAAAGTCCCAACTTTCTAGCTATAGCGGATCAAAAGTTGATAATTTTCTAATGAATCGAATTGCAAATTGATATTACCTAAATGTGCGCGCATCAGTTTAATCTGATTTATATCCAGTGAGAGAAAGTTTATGAATTACGACTGCTGGTAAAATCTGGTTAAAGTACGACAGATTTCCGGAGGAGTTTAATAGAGAATATATTGGTTAGATTCTTCAGCCAATCAAACTAGAGGTTCTAAAATAATAATCTAAACAAAATAAATGAATGAATGAAACATTAGATTGTTTGAAGTTACTTCAACATTAATTGAAAAATAGCTGTCAACAGAAAAAATGTGCCAAAGGCACAAAAATGGTCTGTTGATGACTTTTCAAAACTCTCTTAGGTCTAATTAAGGATGTTTATGCCGAAAATTGCATGGTTAGAGCAAAGCTAAAATATGCGTTCGAAACAGTTTTGACGGCGAAAATGCCACAAAAGTGTAATTTGAAATGCTTTGCTCTGGTGACTAACATATGAGTTTTGTTTTTTTCGAAGGGTGCCTCCGAAGGATATCTTGAAAATTAACTTTAACATGTGACATCATACACTCTGTCTGAATCTGAAATTTTTTTCTGAAAACTAAAAGCTTTTGTTTTGTGATATCGTCATCTTGAAATGAAAGCTTTTAAAGCAAAGTTTTCATGAAACTGAACTACCTGCTTCTTTAGCATTGGTTTGATTGAATAGACTAGGAAAAATTGCATGTTCTGACTTCTCTTTCGTCATTTCAGCTATTTCTTTCGCCGTGTTTTTTTGAAAAAATTGATATTTCGTAAAACTTTATTTTGAAGCAAAGTTTATTGGTATTTAGTTTAGTTATTAGTTATTTTGGTATTTAAAGCTACTCTGGAAAGCAAAGATTAAAAAATCCGATATTTTGTTCAGACTTTTACGCTCATTCTACGGAAAATACCACTAAATACTACAGAAAAGTATCCTACTTTTAACAACACGACACCTATGGTCTTTGTACTAATATGCCACTTGCTTTAGGCAGCTTTTTTTTGACGAATAAACATTTTCGTTGTTTATAAATTTCGATTGCGACCATTTTTGGCTGACATCTTCTGAGTGCGATAAACTAGCCATTATCTTAAAGTATCACATCAATAATGTAGCGGTTAAACAGTAAAGTTTAGTACTATACGTTTACCATAGTAGTATTATCATCTTATTGAAATTCAACAGGATGAATTTTTCTTTGACTCTAACTAATAAATAATAAAAAGTAATGACTGGATCATCTCTGTGATAGTTCGCTATACAATTATTCATAAACTCTCCGTCACGAGCTGTATCAGATTAAACTGATAAGATAACGTTTAGGTTTATCCATTCGATTTTATTGCTCAAATTTCCTTCTATTGTCTTAGCTGTTTCTTAAGATTTTTTATTGTTTTTTTAAGATTTAAACTCGATTATCGAGATAATAAAAGAATGGCTGAAAATTCTGTTAATGAAGAAAATTCTTCGTTGACTAATGAACAAATTGAGTATACTCTAAAATCAATAAGTGACGAAAATTCTTCGTTGACTAGTGAACAGATTGAATATGCTCTAACATCAATATATGATGTTACGAAGACGATCTTCAAATATTTACCATTACGATCAATTGATACATGTTCAACTGTATGTCGTTCCTGGTATGAGCTGGCAAAATTAATTAAGTCTCGTCGACATACATTTCATACAATCACTTATCCATCAGACATTAATACCGGAAATTTTTCTAATTTATCTTCAGGAATGCTGAGTGATTTTGATATTTTTATTGATAATACAATACAAGAACATTTATGGTCTGTGCCGTGTTTTGCATTGGTACTCAGTACAAATATATTAGCAACAAAAGGTTTTTATTCATTACCGTCATCATCAACAACCACTGATACCCAACAACCTCCACCAAAACAACGTCGTTTAAGATCATCAACAAGTGCAACAATGACTCAACGTTATGATATTGATCAAGCATTATTAAAACATTTGCCTCAGTCTTGCTCTTGTATGTTTGTGGTCTCTGAAGGAATAATTTCATCATCAAAAATTCCAAATCAGAATACGTATTATACAAATGAACTTGAATCAACTGATGCCATCGGTATATTATTGATGCCAAAAATGACATCGTCCATGTTCGGTGTTTATCCGTTTCAAATTCCGTCGGATACAAACATATCCAATGATATGTCACGCTCAGATTTGCATAGATTTTTGGGAAATGTTCCCAATGATGTTGATATTCGTTGTATCATTTTCTTTTTTATTCAACGTCAGTCATCTGCCATGGATTGTTTAAAAAAATTATTAGAATTTTATCATAATCGAATAGCAGTTACCGGTGGTTTTGTCGAAAAAATTTGGTATGATGATAGAAAAATTAAATCAAAACAAACATCGCCCTGTGATGCATGTGGAATTGTATTTACAGGGAATAATATCCGTGTAGGGCAAATTGTTTTAGAAAGTTTTGTTACTAAAAAAACGGATATCAAACAAAAAATAGAAAAATTAAAATACATTATGGATGGTAGACGATCATTATCATTTGGACTTCAAGTCTCGTGTGTTGGACGTGGAACTAATTTACATAATGATACGAATATCGAATGTAATATTTTTCGATCATTATTTCCATCAACACCGTTAGTAGGCGTGTTCGGTAATGGAGAGTTGGGACACGATTATCTACCAAATTATGACGATAGCAACAGTACAACTAATCAGAATGTAGCAAAAACAATAAAAAAAGAAACAGGAAAAAGTTTTTTTCGTGGTTATAGTTCAGTGTTTACTCTTATTTCTATTCCTTACTGAATATTCTCAGTTAACTAAATTTATTCGGGCTAGAGATATGAAATGAAGAAGAAAAAAAACTCTAGAGTTGACGTACAATCGAAGTTTCCTAAACGTTGAAGTAATAAAGCGAAGAGGTGTTGTTAGATTTTTCTGCTAGATGCATGTGAATTGTTGGTTCTTATTAATAAATACTTTTCTTTTCTTTTTTAAAATGTTGATAAAAAAATGAGATTTATTGTTGTAAAAGTTTAAATTGTGACTGAAAAGCACAGTGACAAAGGTGCGCAAGTTTTAAGTAATTTTAACTGCGTCCGCTGTACAAAGAGTGAAATTGTGCAATCTTGTTTGTTCGCTTTTTAATTTTTGTGTCGTTTTTAAAATAATACTATATATGAAACAGAAGTGGATTTTTTCCAATACGCTAGATTAGTAGAGCTTCTTTTGTTTTAAGTTTGACATTAGTCTCTTTTACGTTTGTAAATATATCCAATTTTTATATACTAAATAACAATAAGTCTGATCTTGTTTGTTGTTTCTCAATAGCTATTATCACTATCAAAATATAATATCCCTGACTATTTTTTGAATAACTCAATAACGAAAGATGATCAAAGCTTGTGACTTTTACCATTCGATAACCAAGACTTTAAACCATATTTTTATAACCAAAAAGAATTTGAAAAAATTTCCAAAAATTAGTTTTCTAGGAAATCTCAAAAAAACTGTTTCTTAACTGGAGAAGTTAAGGTAGCAGTCTATTGTTCTTTTTTCATGAGTAAATAGACGAAAATGTCCTCTTAACAAAGAGAGTACGTCGTTTAAATCGTTAAATAAATTTTATAAACTGAACATAGAACATACGGCATATTAAACTGAAAAAGTCATTGAACTTTTTGTTCTTGTAAGAACCTTCCCTATATCTATTATTTATTGACAATATGTGTTTAGATACGTGTTCCAAAATAAGATGCTTTTCTGTTATTACAGCTAGTATTACTAGTGATAAAATAGTATCTACGATAAAAATTTCAGATTAAAAATACATAAATAAGTGATATGAATTTTGGCAGTTATCTTCAACATCAACAAGATATCCTTTTTTTCACAAGAAGGTGTGTTGTTATTTGGCTTTACAGAATTTTTATTTACATGAATTTCGACTGAATAGTCTTTTGAATATTCAATTTAGTGTTAGCTATCAGGATCGAAAAAAATCAAAAATAAATTGCTTCTGTGTCGTACATGATCATCGTTTTTCAATTTCAATCTAACTTTTGATATGTTTCTTTTGAGATGGTGTTTAACACGTGAAGTAAATATGTGATTAATACCGTTGTTGTCTCCAACAAACAGGCAGAATGTTAGTAAATACATCATTTTTCATTTTTTCTGTATTTGTTTGGCTGAATCAATCGTACGATACTTATGACGCAAATATATTCGATAACAAAGAATTCTGATCAATACTTTAGTTTAATTCATACGTTGAAATATTGTCTAAGCTCAATCAAACTCTCACTGCCTATGACATGCTCTCAACAATGTATGTTACACAGCATCGGCTCGTTTCTTGCGAAACTCATAAATTAAGGGCAGTAATCTTTCACCGATTCAATTTGCATGTAACAATTTATCTATCTAAAACTGAGAATAAAAAATTGTTTGCAAATCTTGTTCAATAACCAAACGTACGATTCATTCAAGTTCATAGAGATTTCTCTTGATTAAACCACCATCAAGTTTTAATGACTGGTTTACCAAAGGATGGGAAAAACGAAAGTGAAAAACTAAAACTAAATTTTTGTGTTGAAACTGATGCTCTTTATATATGAATTATAGGAACAGAAAAAGCGGAGAATGACTTGTGCTCATGGATTTTTCTCTCGTATCTTCTGCACATACCAATTTCTAGATTTTTCCTTACGGTTATTCTGTTCATCGTTTTTCCGTCATAAATTTTATTTTATAATTTCCACTTCTACGGATGGATATATTCAACGATTTTGACATTCTCGTATTTTATCTTACGATTTTTTCCTCGTCCTTTTCTACCAGACGTTTTTTTTTGAACGTTTTTTATGTAACGACTTTCGACTTCACGCTTTATTACACGATTTGTTTTTCTCCGCCCATGTTTGAGACACTGATTGATTCTCGTACGATGCTCTTTTATTTCGTTTAATAATTGAATGAAAAAGATACAGGTAACGCTAGTAATTTTTGTATATAAATTAATTTGTTTCATATACAACTAGAAAGCATATCTAGATAATGATTTTCTAACTGTCTCTTTACTTTGTAGCGTATTCAAGGAAGTAGAGAAAGAAACGACGAATTAAAATACAATATTTCTCATGTTAAATACGGTCATTATACAGCATTAAACACTTTCATATAACCTTCTTTTATCTAGCCACGAGAAACTTGTTGAAAGAAAATTGAAAATCTTTAAACAACAGTATAGATTATATATAGTGTACAAGGTTATTTCCGTATACTTCTATTGTTTTAATAATCAGCTTTATTCGTTCTACCAGCTGATTACAACAAGTATCGAACGTGAACGAATAGAAAATGAAAATTTGTACATATTGGATGCAAAATCGAAGCTAGTCGAAGTACATGTACTCAAAATGAAATTATTAACATTTGTAGATGAAAACTAAGGCATGAAGAAAATCGATGTAATGCCATCAAATTGTCACATAATTTTTTCCTATTTTTGTTTAGAAAGTGTAGATAGATAGAATCAATTCAAGAACCATTTTTACACAACAAATTAATAATCTGATACAAGAGAAAGTATATGCGAACATGATAGACGGTATACTTGTTTTGAAGTATAGAAAACATGTTATAGCAGAGCTCTTGTAGTATTTTAGCAATTTTGTTATATTATTTTTCATTTAGGCAACTTTTCATCCCTCTATTTTAGAAAGAATTTAAAATTAATTTTAAAATAATAAAAATTAATTATGATAATTTGAAAAAAATTACAATTTATTCAAGATGCATTATGAAAAAGAGTATGTTGTCTGATGATTGAACGTTTTTTTAGATCCATTGATATCTCAACATACTGTAGTACATGTCTTTTTATCATATGTCTCTCGAAATGAAACGTCATTATCGAAATTAGAGTTAACGAAACAGATTTTTGACAGGAAAAGGGAACCTTTGGAAGGGAAAGAAGGAGAAATTGCAACATTACAAGTATATTAACGTTATTATCAATGTGAACGCTTTCGTGACTAAAAAGTGAGAACATCTATAGTAGTATTTGTCTTTTTATCAGTCAAAACGCTTCTTAAAGTATAGAAAATATTCAAAAGCTGATCTATGTAACAAAAATCGGACACTATGCAATAATTCTGTGAGCAACCTGGAATCAATTTCATGAAATAATGGCAAACGTCATTGGAGATTGTTTTCGTTTTTGGTCATTTTCAACTACCTAGCCATAAATCAAAAGGAAAACTTTTTTGATAAGTTGTTGTTTCATTTTATTGATATATTTGCACATAAAATTCATCTAAAAGTTGTAATTGTTTTTGAATCATAATCATAAATTCTACTTAATAATATTTTTTTATTTCTCAATTATAAAAAGAGTATTTTTAGTCGTAATTAGAATGTATATCTGCTATGAAACATTAAGTAAAGACTTAATGAAATGTAAAATAGATAAAAAATGTTCCAGTTTGTTTTAGTAATCAGGTTGTTCATCTTGTGCCGTTACACTTAAATATTCGTCGATTAAATCTTCTATAATATCGCCCATCTCTGTATCGAAAACATATTTCTTTGTTTGTCGTCCTAGATGTACTTCAAGAAGAAATGAGATGGCATTTGAACTGTGATTTATATTGAAATAGGCATATTTAGCAGCATATTCCTATGAAATAAAATAGAATGTCTAAATAGATCGATTTTTCAATAAATATCAATACCTTTGTTATTGCGTTCATTATATTAATACCATTTTGATTAATGCATATAAACATATCTTCTGGAAAATCGTTTTCTGTTTCATTCTAAATAAATAGAAATATGACTATACCGTATTAAACTATTATTTATGAAATAACTTACTTTAATTTGATAAAAACTTGTTCCATATGTCGGCCATGCGGATACATATTTTAAAAATTTTTCTTTCGCATCATCATCAGTAATATCTCGTATTTGATTTGAAACATTATAAATTTTCTAAAATACAATCACAAATTACAACATTATTATGATGTTGAAATAACCATAAACATGAAGAAAATCCACTTACTTTCGCCCATTCCGATTGTGGAGCTGATTTAATCAAAAATTCTGGTACAAAATTGGCAAGATTACTTCTAAAAGAAAATCCATTTGTATGAGTTGTATATATTCCCTTTTCTTTCCTTATTATTCATAAAACTAATTTTTAAGATATAAATGAATTAGTTGTTATCCTTACTCTGGTGCACCCTTTCCCCTATCCGCTTTGGCTAATAAAGCAGCTAAATTGACGGCATCATCCATTGAACATTTGTGTAAACCGAGAAGATATTTGTCTTTTTCCTAAAAATAGAAATAAATAAAAAAGATAAACATATATTTTTAATGTCAAATAAAGTCAACTATACCTGATAAAAGTGAACAATAGCGTCTGCTTGACGATCTTCGCCTGGTACAATATCGATCCATAATTTTCTTTTGAAATGTATTTTATAGTCAAGTTTTTCTATGTAAAAAATAGTATTCATTTCACTCAGTGTTAAGTAGAATAACATGTATTTTCAACTTACTTTTATCATGTCCACGAAGTTGTGTTAGAAAATCGAAAAAGTATGAGTCATTGGGAATGCTTACCACTGTAAACAAAACAGTTTATATTTGATGTATAAAATAAATTATTAAATACATACTTTTTTTCCCAGTTTCTAAAAATACACTTAAACCATCCGATGATGATATTTTTAATTCTTTACATATATTTGCCACAAGTTCAATGGCTTTAGTTGTTGATTCAACAACAAAATCGTGTTCACGACCGTTTGGAAAGTGTACATATTGGCGAATTTTAACACGATTTATTCGAGCATTACATTCAATAACATGGGGTGGACGTACACGCTCTCCTTGTCTAAAATAAACATATATATATATATATATCAGACATCATTGTGTAAGCTAATTAACTTTTTATTACTTTAGAATTTTTTGTATACGATTATAACATTCTAAGGCTGCTGGATTTGAACTTGATCTTAAAAATAATTGCACATGTTGTAACAAAGCTTTACCAGGAACTAAACAACCCGTTAACAACCATAGTAATTCCCACATTCGGGTTTCAATCTTGATATCGGGACAATAAGTCAGCTGTTTTATTAACTGACAATATAATTCTTCTTTTAATGCTTTCTGAAAAAACAGATAGAACATTGTTTTAATTGTTTGTGTATATAAATTATCTCGTTATATAAATTGGCATCTTTTTCCTTCAGTTTGATAGAGTACAAGTATTTCTTTCGAGAGTTCTTATCAAATCTAAATCATTTTTCTATCACTTTTGCTGTTCTCTGTCTCTCACTTTTCGAAATTTGCTTAAAGTTTATAAAAATACTTGCCTAAAATCGTATTGTATTTTTAGGAAGAGAGAGCTTGACAGTACAAAGTGATACTCTAAGAAGAGCAATGTTTTGTCATAGTCGATAATGGTAACAATAAACCTTTTACTCATAAATTTTATGGTTCATAATGGAGAAAAATCTGTGGTATTAAATATCCTGACCATCTTTCTATGCCAATTGAATTTAGCTAGAAATTCATGTTTAGAAAATTGAAAATTGTAATGGAAAACTAAACTAAAACTTTAATTCTGTCAACACCTTACATAGCAACACCTTAGTATAAGCATACTATTTTGTACCTTTAGAAAAGTGATATCTAGTGACGTAATACTTCAGCTTTTTACGGCTAATATTAAATGACGTATAAAATTTGTAACGTCTTGGAATACTTGACTAATTTAACTTAATTTATTATTTAAACAATCAAAACATTGAGATTTTGTCTCGAAAGTATATATCTAGATATATTTTCACCTATATATGAGCATTTCCGACATTTATCAAGTTGTTTCTGACTACCTTAAAACTTTTTAAAAAGCTTTCAGGATAAAACTTAAATAAAACCAAACTAATAGGTAAAAAATTATTTCGGACGCTGCTATATCCCCTCTGGAAAATGAAATACGTTTGGCAGTATATCCTTTAATACTCTAGAAATTGACTTGAACTCTTTTAGATCTATTGCATATATTGAGATATTTCAGGTTACATACATACCGCTTTTTCAAATGCTGCATCAAATATACTATCAATATCGATCTGTTGTATCTTTTTTCTATCTTGTGGTGACATTTTTGCATACTGTTGTATCGAATGAAACATTTGTACTGCTTTCGCTTGGAGTTCTGGTTTTTGATCAAGTTTTCGAAGTAGACCTGCTTTTATATCATCTTTTTCATATTGCCAAGCAGTTATTTTTGTCGATCTATAGAAATATTAACAATATAGTACTTCTATTCTCTATTTTAGTAAATTAAATATATACTTGAAGAATTTTTCAGCATAACCTTTTAATGTATGTATATTATAATGTGGTTGTTGTTCAATTTCAGTGCTAATATTATGAGCACGTTTCATAATGTGAAGCACTAATCCACGCTAAAGAAATAGTGTAAAAATGAAACAAAAAAAAAGAAAACGCTTGTTTTTTTC